GCAGACAAGTCGATAAAAAATTGTATCTGACAGCACAGTAAAAATGTTCAGGATGAACTATGCGGAATGAACTTAAAACCACAAAGTTTAATGCCCCAAACTATTTACCTAAGAACTTCCTCAAGTATAACCGATGTGATTACTACATATAAATTGAATTCTTCCGTGTATGGCATAAATATATTTCACAAAAGGAAAACGAAAACACTTCCTGAAACTTACAGATGATCGACGATTAGACAAAAACTTTATAATTCCTGAAAAATCCATTCCAAGATAACTATTGTTTGGTTACTATTTACAATGTTTCGACTGAGAATATCGAGATAGCACTTTTTCGTGGCACAAAATCAATATATCACTAGGGGATGCAGATGGTCATATTACAAGCTAATAAGACCAAAGTTTTCTCTCCTTAAAATTTTTTTTGAAAATATTAAGTGAGGATGCAATGAGAAAATCCGGCTTTCAGCAAATAAGCATTCAGAATGTTAAAAGAGGTAAAATAATGATAAACCGGAATCATTGGTCGCTTAATTCGTCCACTGATTGATCAGCTAGAATCATGTTCAACAAATCAACCAATCGTCAGTGAGCAAAATGAAGATAAAAACAGGTGGAAAATTTCGAGTCTCAAGAATTAGTATGATGAGCGATAAAGAAGTAGGAACAGAAAAGTACGTGTACATGTGTACTCAATTACTCATCATATTGCTTATACTGACAGAAAACCCATACAGGATTAGCAGAATAAGAAAAATATTTCAACCTAAGATTGGTCAATTGAAGGAGATATAGCATAGTTTTCAAGTGTTGAGCATTCTCTTAATAGTTCTACTGGAAGAACCTTTTAGATAACATTAACCATTTTAAGAAAGCTAAGTAGGCCAATAAAAGTAAAGTTTAAGGCAGTGCTCTCACTTTTAGGCGGAATTCACTTTCGCGTGATGATCTGGCTTGTATATCATGATGACCCAACGAGCTATGTTGGTAGAGTGCTTGTTCCCTCGATGTCCTACCACACCTGAAAGGTCTGTTGGATAGTGGTTAGACAAAAAGCAGTTACCCTTACTCTTAAGATGTTGTTAAACAGAGAGATGATGGATTATGGTGGCTTAGATCAATCATCAGTGGTTAATGGTGATCCAAAACAACAAGATGTATATCCGATTTTCGTAGTATCAGAAAGGCCTACGTGACCAACCTCAAGGAGATATCCCCTGGGCTCTATGGTCACGCACTAACCCTCCTTTTCCAGGTACCTCAAGAAGAGCTAGCCTTCTATGGTGTTGGTAGCCGGGAAAGGTCAACTGCCCTAACAACTCTGTCAGCGCCCAAGTTCTCTCAGACTATTATCCATTTCCCTTATCCTTACCTTCTAATCTTCCAAATCTCTCAGTTAACAATCTTACATCATCTTTGACTTCTTCCAACTCTGTAGGTTTCGACAACGATATGAGCCCATGGAACAGCATCACTGGTCTACGAAAACCACGCTCCAGATTACACGTTGGAGCCATCAGGGTCCGCACTCACCGTCAAATTGGGCAACAAGCTTCATTGGCCAAAACTCTAGCAACTAAGGTCATGAATATATGCTGTGTTTGTGAGACACGCATAAAAGACCCATGTGCGGTTATTCACTTAACCTCTCCAAGCAAAAAGGTTAATCAGTGAAATTCACCCTTCGAGTTTCTGGAGATTCGATGGTTAGTTCTTGTGGTTTGGCAGGTGTAGGTATAGCATTAAGGACTAGGGCAGAAAGCTCAATACTAGACTGGATCTCAGTTGAGTTACCTATGCGTTGTTCAACCGAGCGCCACAATGAGAACTAAAAGGAATAGTGGAACTCACAGTTGTCTCTTTGTAATCTCTGCTTACGCAGCCACTGACTGCAGTTCGGCTACAGTGAAGAATGAATCCTACCGAAAACTATCTAGCCTCCTACCGAAAGCCAAACTTTAAGATGTGGTTTATGTTGCAGGTGATTTCAATGCACAAGTGGGTAGACTGAGGCAGAAAGGCACTTAGGTTAAACTTTTGGAATCCTGACTGAACGAGCAGATAACGGTGATCCCCTACTACAGCTGTGCTAGCGCAAACTTCAGACATAAAGAAAGACACTGTCTGAGGTGGCGTCCACCGAGCTCAACTCAGTGATGGACACAGATAGACCACATTGCTATCAGTCATCACTGGGGAGGGTCGGTGGAAGACTGCCGCTCCTTCTGGAGCACGTGTTTGGATAATGACGACGCGTTGGTTCGAGCACATATATGTCTGCATCTCAATAGACATAAAAAAACTTCATCAACGAGACCATTAAGAGTTCAGCTCAATAATAAGAGCACTAAGGCCCCTTTCAATAATAAACTAGCTAGGGGGTTATTGGAATAGAACACTATGACTTGTCAAGAAGAAGCTTGAGGTCACCTCCAATCTACTGTAAAAACAGTGGTGGAAACCGTAGCCGACTCAAACAGTGGTTGAAAAGAGCCAATGGATATCAGCAGCTTCTTCTGAATTAATGGATGAACGCGAATGCATCCCTGCAGGCTCTGAGTGTAATGAGGAGCAAACGCAAATGTAAACTGACAACAGGTCTACGCAATGACCAAGAACAATGGTGGGCAGCGAAGGTTAAACAGATGGAAAAGGCAGCGACATTGGGTAACAGTAGACATTATTCAGACTTACTAAGAAAGCTGGGGAGAAAAGGTCAACGGTTAGTGAAACTATATCGGAGAAGGATACGTCTGAAATCCAATTGCAGGGGAGACGACTGGAACGATGGGTGGAACATTTCGTGGAACAGTTTAACTGGCCCTCAGGTACTACTGTGTTACCCTCCATTCGGTCAGATCCTGAATGGAACAGCGAGATAGGGCCCCAACACTAGCAGAAGTCGAGAAACCCGTAGGTAAATCGAAACGAAGAACCGTAGCAGTACCAGACAGACTAGTTCCTGAGGTATATAAAGACGATGGTAGAGTGATTTTAGTCAAGTTAGCAGAAGTATTAATTAGCGTATAGGAGTCAATTATGATCCCCTCTGACTGGTCTCAACCACTGATTATCTCAGTCTTTAACAAAGGCGAAAAGTTCTCTTGCGATAACTACAGGGGAATCAGTCTGACAAACAGTCTCTAAGATTTCAGGCTCTATAAACATTAGATGCCTGCGGGGAGGTTGGGAACAGCAAGCCCGAGAAAACCAGGCAAGCTTCAGTTCAGGCCGTGGTGGCATCAACCAAATATTCACACTTTCAAGTTCCGGAACACATGTACGCTTACTGACGCTCGACAACAGCTGTATTTCTTGACCTGAAGACACCATCCCACTACGTCGGTTGAGAAGTTTTATGGTAGCGTCTCTTATTCAAAGGGGTACCGAGTAAGTACATTACTATATAATAGGCTCTTTACTCGGACACCATTGGGGATGTTAGTGCCCACAGTGAAATGTTGAGTGAGTTGTGTACGTTGAGTGGTGTCCATCAAGGATGCCCACTCTCACTATTCTTACTCAATTTTATCAAAGACCTTCTTAAGGGTAGTCTCCCTTTCGTCATCTGACTACACATGGATTGACCTAATCACAGGAGAATTTATGGTAGACCTAGAATACGCAGATGACATAAACCCGTTAGGTGAGGACGCTGACAAGTTGTAGAGTCTTCTGCATAGCTTGTGCGGCAATTTGAGAATGTTTAGGATGCGTTTCTCGCTACCCAAATTCAAACTGTTGCTCCAGGACTGGTCTTTAGTGGTTCCCCGGCTGACGATACAGACTAAAGCGGTTGAGTGCGTTGGACATTTCACTTACCTGAGAAGTCGGATCAGCCCTGGTGGCTCAGTGGCCGACGAAGTCTCTGCATATGTACAAAGGGCTCAGTTGATTTTTGGCAACCTACGCCACCTGTGGTGCCGCCGCAACATTAGCTTGTCTATAAAGGGTCGAGGGTACTGTGCTGCAGTCTGCTCTGTTTTACACTATGGGTGTGAAACATGGCTATTAAAGGTAGAAGACTTCAGGTGTTTGACCACCGTTGCCTTCGTAGCATAAGCCGTATTTCGTGGTGTCACCATATGAGTAACGCAGAAGTCAGGCGTAGAGTTTCAGGGAGGAGAGCCAAGTCAGATGATGCGGTTGTGAACCCTCATCGACTGGGATGGCTGGGACGTGTGTTACATATGCATAGCCAACGTCTGTCTCGTCACACAGTGCTACTCGAGGTAGGTTCAGGTTGGAAAAAGGCTAGGGGTGACCAGATTAAAACATGGCGTCAATGCATGAAGTCTTTGACTGTTCGTTAGAGCCTCACAAGGCGATGCAGAATAGCCAGTTAGGGTCTGCAGGACAAGACGAACTAGTGATTGGAGACTCTAAATGATACGGTTCAGAACCGATGTCAGTAATGTAGATGCATGCACACATTATCTTCACACTAACCGCTATACTTAATCTCATCATCTCATACCTCCTTCCTCTTTTTTATTACTTTTTACTTCTTTTGACCGAATTTTTCTTTCGTCTTCAATTTTATTGCGTTGTTACTTGATGTGATGGTATGAGGTGTAAAAACTTGGACTGTTACGCAGTAATTCCTGGTCCTATGCTGATTTTGATGATGATGCCTAGCTGACAAAAGCTGAAGGTATAAAATTTAAGCTAATGGCTAACGACTGTATCCAACCCCTCGACAATAAGTATATCGCATTTTAGTCGTTAACGAATAATCGATGACAATTAGAAACTATTTACCGAACGATATACAAAGTCCTCACCAACCAAACCCTTCCTTATGACATCCAATGATAAATCAAAGTTACCAGAAACAAGATCAAAAACTGATAATTGAGGGAGAAGTCTAAAAGCTGTTAATCCACAGCTGTTATTAAATGACCTATTTGATAAAAGTGAACTTTGTTCTTTAATTTCCAGTACAAAGAAACAAAAATAAACGAATATAAAGTAAAATTATTAAATGAAAATCTTACCGAAAATGATGAATCTACAGCGCTGGCCCCAAGTAGTTGGACAGGTGAAGGAAGTAATTTATAAGTATCTTCAAACTCAGCTCTTAAAGATTCGATAGTAAATTTTGCACCTAGTTCCTTATCATATTCATCCAATATTTCGGATTTTCTTACCCTTTCATCAAGCTGTGTAAACATATTCCCTGTTACTTCATTCGATGCAACCAACAATGAATCTTCATTACCTTCTTCAGTTTCTGCAACATCCCACAATTTCCCTGTAGCAGTAGGGCTGCCCCTAGGAGTAAGAGTTTCAGCGGCATGGATTCTTATCGACTCAGGACGAGTAGTAGTATTCAAACCAGATCTGGCTAGTGAAGTCAGGGCTTCATGATTGTGAATAACAACAGGCAGTACACCTTGAGCAGCTAATGTATCATCTACATCTAAAACATAAGTACCTGTATGACTTGGTGTTAAGCTAATCGATGAAGCACCGAGAAGATCAGAATCATCCCAGCTACCTGCTACATGCAATATATCGTTTTCATCTTGATTATCATCCAACTTTTCAATCAGACATACAGTTGAACTAGTCTGCAAAAGGTGTACAGATTTTTCAGTTATCTGAGATTTAGTCAAATCTGACGACGGAATAGCTTCGTGATCAGAGTTCAATCTTTTATTTCGTGTATTTTGTAGTGTTGACAAAGGTAAACATGTTTGTATTTGCTCAACCGAAGACGACATGGAGTTCTAAAATAAGCGAAAAGTTAGAGAATATCCATATGAAAAACTAATCAAAAGCTGAGAAACAAATAACAATGAATAAAAGTTGATAATTATCATGCAGTAGACTAATATTCCGCGCAAAATAATTCAAATCTAAGATACAGTAACCTTAGTAGTCCACCTTACTCATACACTTTCAAAAATGTAGGTTTTCAATGAATTTCAGTTACAGATTTTCACACACTTCTAGTGTCACAATCCAAACATAAACAATATAAATATACTGATATGAAACGGTGTGCACGATGGAGAACAAAGAAATAATTTATGAAAATCACTTACGACTGCATAAAACTGGGTTGTGTTGATTTATTAATAGGCTATTCAAAAGGGTGCTATGTTTTGTTTAGATAAATTAAGATAATTAAACGACTGAACAGCGTGCAGCAAACAGGCATTTTTCTATGAAACGACGTACAAGCATAAAATGTATTCCAACTCAGTAAGCACGTAACAGTTTACATAATAAGCTAGGATTCACATTCAATTTTGTAATTGTGAATGGAGTTAGTGATACTGTCCGATAGTACAAACATAATTATTTTAGATTGGGTTAGTCCGTAATGACCACCATCAGTGGACAAACTTCAGTTCATATAAAAACACTAAGATATATTTAGTAGTTGTCTTCTGATTTGGTGAAGATAGTTTTGAAATAACAGTTCGACGTAGTAAAAATACCTTTCAACTGCATAGTCTATGTGAGTATTCAAAAATAATGGTACATAACCAGATTAAATAGGCGAAAATGAAATACAACTCTGATAATTCTAACATTTAATGGAGTGTTAATATAACCTCGTGTAAAATACTGGATATATGAAATTCTTACTTTAAAACCTTTTACATGAGACGAAAGCTTTCTTGATTGCTGGTTTGATAAATTACTTCCAGGTGGGCGTTTTAATTGTCCATCACCTTTAACTTCTCTTACAGGGCTTCCACGAGGAGTAGACAGATCGCATTCCTTGTGAAAACTTACATCTTTTTCATCCAAATGTTGTGATAGACACTGGTCACCAGTATTTTCATCAACATCAATAACATAAGTTCCTGTTTGACTTGGTGTTAGACTAGTGACTGAAGTGCTGACTAGTAACGACATATTCATTGGATCTACCACATCACCATCAACTGCTTCAACGTGAACTTTATTACCAGATGAAACATAAGATTCTATAACTCCCTGAACATGACCTGAAGTCGTAGAAGTAATTGGTGCTATCTGGTTTTTATGGACTTCAGATTCAGAAAGCTGAGAATTCTCTTGTATCCTCTTATGCCATGACTTTGAGGCGGTTGTCGAATCTGTTCGGTAATCAGTCGTACCTTGCCGATATTTTGCATTATTATCTGGTAATATAACCGGTTCAGAACGCTGTAAAGAATTCGATGAAAAGAAAAATTAAGGTAAGCTACAACAGTCTTAGCAATAATAGATCATTTTTTATCCAACACATCCCTGTGCTAACATGAAGAGTAAAGACCATACACTTGAAGTCAGAGTACGGGTTGGTGAGATATACTTCATGGTTAAAATACAAAACTAGGTGTAACTTATTGATGTTTTCATTGTTAAAGAATGCATTCAGACCAAAAATTATAATCTCTTAATCAGCAAAAAAGAGAAGAAAGGGAGTACACGACATTCATGTTGAATAACATAAGAAGTAGGCTTTTTACACATATCAGCAGTATTAGCTAATCAGATCAAGATGGTCTGCAAAAATGAGTCATCTTCAGCTATAGTACAGTAGACATCAAACTTCCAATACATACAAACTGAGGAAAGTAGCAAAAAGTAGCGAAACAAGACTGGCACAACTGGAAGCTCTGGCAAATCATTTAGTGAATGGTCGACGGAAACAAATGACATAATCTATAAAAATACATGTCTACTAAGCGAATGATGTAAAATTACTAGGCTTTGAAAAAGTTGCTGGGCAATCTGGTATTTAAATAAGGAAAGTAATCGGTATTCACTGACATAGTGATAATGTACTCATATTACTACAATCATCTTGATGTAAATACGTACTGCATTTCCCATGCCGATTTCTGTACTACTAAACCAGACTTAAGGGGGTGAGTGGAAGACGAATTATAAGAGTATAAACAGAGTCACTAATTGACAGTAAAGAAGTTTTTATTTGAAGGTCAAACTAAAAAAAATGCTAGAGTGTAGTAAAAAACGACTACTTTTGCTTGAAGGTTTCATAAGTTTTGATATCTATTTCACATCGAGATGCAGTTTCGCATGAAAACAGGATCTTGCTCATTAAGAAGGAGAAAAATAGAGTAGCTGTTTTTCCTTCGTTACTTTCATCATACTGTTTTCCAATAATATGCATTGAGATCGTGAGTGTTGAGCATAGGGGAATTACTCCAAACAAAAAGGACGATTATTCGGTGAACAAGCATGATTTCTAGTATTTATGAAGTGCCATGCATTGTCTAAAATACACGTACAGTATACATAGCTCCACAGAAGGGATAGAGAAAATATACACTTCTAAAAAATGCCGTCTACGATAAGAAATAGAGGACGGATTGATATTCATTCCTTATGTTGATGCGAAAGTTAAGCCTAAGTCATCTTAATAATCCAATCATTATCAGCCTCACTTAACTGCCTTTATACATCACTAAAAGCAGTGCTAATTTAAGGTAACAATGGAGGATTCTCTAACAAGCACACAAAATACCTACAAAAGCACTGAAAACATTTCAGATGAATGTGATTCATGTACTTCTCTAAATCTCGGATTTCTGATTAGTGTATATCCGTTTGCTTCTTGTTTACTAAATTCTTTCCTATCACTTGTTTTTAATACATTTTTACTTTTGCTGACTTTTTTAGTTCACCATGGTGTTGAAAAGTGAAACAACTTGAATGCATTGATGTTGTGCAAATGTCTATCTGTCGATATTTACCTAGCTATTATACTAACACGTTCTCGGTTAGGGAGTGGATGTAACGATTCTACTCTCCATTTAATTCGATATGAAGAAATCACAAATGTTATGATAGTTTCAGTGAGGTGGAAACGGGAAGCTAACACTAGCACATACACTACCTATATGCTAGAACCCGAAAATGCAGTTGCCAGATTATATTTTTAGCTTAGCAACGTTTGCATAGTTGGAAATCTTAGTTTAGTATAAGCATAAGTTAGGTGACCAACGTTGTAAGGCAGATAAACGATAACAACTTAAAGCAGACAGGTACATAATGACTGAACAACAGGCAGTTCATATGGAACGCATAGAAAACATCTTATGAGCAAATCAATGGATGAAAATGCAATTAACAAGTATAATATCTCCAATAATGTGTGAAAACACTCAGATTGAAAAAATGAAATGAATAACCTTTTTTCGCACATTCGAAGAGGCAGCTGATGAATGCTCTTTTGATTCATCTGCTAAGTTCGTCTGAGAAGCAGCTAATGGCTCATCAATTTCATAATTGGTTGATTCGAAGTTCAAAAGTGGTCTTGAGTTCAACTCAGGTAAGTTTGGCGAGTACGTTGAAAATGCTTGAAATATACCATCAGTAGTGGCTTCAATTTCTTCGGAACCTTGGAACATTCGATAGAATAAATAAGCTTTTGGATCATCGTAAGCTTCGATAGCAGCAACTACAGATGCAGTTAGATCGGAAATACGAGTTGACGATTTATTCGAACTAGAGTACTGATTAATGTTATCGGTAGATAGTTTATGTCCGATACCAGGACGACCATGAGCAGTTCCACGACGTAGAAATGTACTTGTGATAGGCTTTTTAGCACTATTTCCTATAGGCGATTCATATGTCCGACGTGAATTGCACTTGGGGGATGAAGATATAGGACTTTCATTTGGCACTGATCGAATAGACTCTCTAGTCCTTACTTGTTTTGCATCTGAACTTGTTGTTGGTGTCATAAAACCACGAGTTGTACCAAGCCCCCTTGTAATTGCTGAAATACATCAAATTTTAGGCAGAAATAAAAGCTATTTAGTACTAGAACTTTTTTTTAATCAATGGTTGACTATGTATATAAGGGTAAATTACATCTTTTAGACTAAAATGAAGTGATTAATACAACTGTCATTCTTCACTAGACTGTTTATTATAAACTCCACAGTTCTTTTAACATTGTACACTCCAACTTTTCAGGAGAGATATTTCATCTACTAGAGAAAAATGTGAAACTTCAGAGAACGAACTTCAAATGTAAAATTATAACGAAACTCACAAACCTGCCTTATAAAACTATATATAAGGAAAAGACGACGTCAAGCCTTTTGCATCTATGTTGAAATTCTTTTAGTGAAAAATCCATGCACACTTATGCAATTATCCAGCTAGACGAAGAGTTTAGTGGGCTCAGAAAGTTTTCACCGCACTGTCAGGAGATACATCGGTAGAGACAAGTTTTAAATTGATAAACTGGATTTGATATCAGGAAACGTCCTGAAAAATCAATACATTACGACTAAGCATTTTCGAGCTCTTCGCTTACAAAGAAAACTCTACCTTTCATATCAAGTTTATCACAGGATTGCTCAATAAAAATTCTCAAACGATCACAAGCACCTGAGTAAAGGGTTTTAATTTACGTGATAAACTTGTTACACATCATCTTTCTTGAAAAAGAATATTGCAATACCTATTGATCGAAAGACTGACAAACCACATTCAAGTTAAGCTATCAAATCTGAACGCACTCAGCAACCTTGTGCAATAGACTGTGAACTACACCTCTTGTGTGAATGCTAGTGATACTACCTTGCTGTCCAAACCTCGGCAGATGGGACTGGGTTCGGCCACGTAACCCATTAGTTGGTTGTCAAGACAAATGAGCCGCAGTTCCAGTTTGAGGTGTAACAGTTGACAGAAGTAAGAAAATGTGAACTATAGGATTTCAATCACAGTGGTTCAATGGTAACGTGCTCGCTGCGAAGTCGTAGGATCCTGAGTTGGATTTCTAGTGGGGTCCATTGTGCACTGCTGGGGGATCCCATACCGAGACACGACAGCTACCCAGTCTTCATAGGTCCTCAATGGTTCTTCAACTGATGCCAGTTCGGAATGAGTACCACCTATAGATCAATAAATACCTACAACCCACCAAACTGAAAAATTAACAATGTCTGAGAATTTCTGAACAGCTGATACTTAAGGACCATCATAGTCGACAGTCACGTGAATGTAGATCTATAATAAACCAACCAATCGGTTGGTTTAGAAATCAAAGTGCTCAGTAAGGATAAACATTCGGTAAGCCAGTTAGTCTCAGCAAGCTCACCAGTGGTCGACACAAAACCAAAAGGAAATGGTAAAAGCTAATTTCCATCTAAACTTCGAGTAGTTACAGATCTAAGAAACAATAAATACCTTCAAAATTGGAAATTAAGATACTTATTATGATGTGAAATATGTCTGTGAGTTTGTGTGCATATTTCTGATTGGAATGATAGTAGAGATGAAAGAATCAACGGAGAACCTAGCATAAAATTGCCTCGATATAAAATGTCACACTCCGTAGCGATAACCAAGATGTAAAGAGAAAAAAACAACACTAAAGGGAAGTGTACAAGAGGAGAGGGAACAAACTAATGAAGGTTAGTCAGCCAGTCAATAATAACATGAGACCTTTAATTACTGCATAATGTTCTATATTTCTAAAACTCGTCTTAGCGCATCAAAAACCACGGCAACATGATAAATGACGGGGAAATCAATAAAAGTGCTGTCAAAGGTTGGAAAAGGATATAAGGGGAGGAAAGGGGATAAAGCAAACACCAAAATGTGATATAGCGTTTAGGATACAGATAATGTGTGGATGCATCTGCACCACTGTGATCGATCCTGAACCATATCACCGACTTAAGCAGTCAAATGAACTCTTTATTTCCTTGCATGTCTCACACCAACAGTCGGAGACTTTATGGATTGATGTCATATTTCAGGTTTGTGACTCCCAAACTTTTCGCAACTGCATCCTACTTCAGCTAAGTTAACGAGTCACGAGGGATAGCGACTAGGCATGCGTAACACATTTCCTAGTGGCCTAAGTCAATCAGGGTTTATGACCTCATCAACTGAATAATCTTTACCTAGGATTCTATACTTAACCTTTGCAAAAACGTAGATGAACGACATGCGGGCAATTTTATGAAGACACTTGTGATCAGAAACCTGTAGCCTCTCCTTAGTTTCCTCTATTAACAGTCGTTTCACAGTCGTACAATAAGACCCTGGCGGATCTTAAGTAGTATACTTGTCCTTTGATGGGTATTCGGATATCTTGCTGATACCAGAGAAGGTGTAGGTTGAAAAATGTAAGACATTCAATGTTGATTGAGATTTTGTAAGCAACTAATCAATTATGGCTGATGCAACTTCACGAGTAAGTAGAAGTAGTTAGGTGGTGGGTCATTGGGTTAGGGAGATGATTTTCAACCAGTGGGTCATGGGTTCCACCTACCGAGGTTTGAACAGCCATGTAGTATCAGTAGCTCTCACACATCGAGTGTGGCTCATTGTGTGGTGCATGAAAGTGCACAAAGTTGTTGGGTGGATTCTGATTTTCGAGGAGGGTCAACTCATTCAACCAATTTACTCCTTGAACTAGAAGCCAGTTCAGATCAGTCCTGAAGGGCAATTTTACATTTGACAGATGCGAAACGCACGCCACACATACTCATATTTTCCATTACCACATTTGAAAGACTATACACACTGTCACTGACTTTGTCTAACAAGATATAATATCATCTGTGAAGTCTAGTTTAGTCACATTTCCTCTGTGGAGTAATTTATTCTCTGGAAAGCTGTGGACAAGTAAAATTGCGTTCAATAGCAAATATGTAGCAAAATTAAATGAGAATGGTGACATTAGACATCTTTGAAGGACACCGCTGGTTGTCATACTTCAGACATGAAATTCCCATAAGCCCTTTTATTACTCTATGATAACGAAAGTTGCATGTTTAGAGCAACTAGCTCAGAGAACGCAACACTAACAAAAACTAACGCAATTCAAGAATCAGATGTATTCAATTTGGAGGCCTGTGGAGATCCAGTGCTCATTGGTGACTAGCTTTGAGAAGTGGCTCCCGAAGTTCCAATGAGAAGTCATGATCGGTGGAGCCAACTAGGTGGAAAATGAGGACAGGTACTCTACGACGGCATTGGATGGAAGTCGCGCTATGTGGTGAACTGACAGAAGTAGGAAATATGGACCATGAGATTACGACAAAGTGGCCCAATGGTAACGTGATAGCAGTGGAACCTGAAGGTCCCGGCTCCCATCCCTGACGGGGTTAGGGATCATGAGGAGTCCGATACTACGACGAAGCAACTGCCTATTACTCCCAGATTTTCAATGTTTCTTCAACTGATATCAGTCCATTATGATTACCAACCTGAAATTAGATATATATTTGAACTTAGGCAATGAATAAACGTCACCATATTTCTTTTCACTAGGTATCTACGAAACTGATGAAAGTTACGCTTGAATCAAGATTGGCTTGTGTAGATGAAAGCTGAAGAGTTAGTAACCACATACCAAAAGTTATCCGATTTCTATTTCTACCTTTTGCCTTTCATTCTCACTTTCGTAATGTTCTGTATAAAAAGATATATACATCAGTATCAAATGCTCCATGAGAAAAAGTTTGGATTTTTAGAAAAATATATACGAATTAGCAGAAACCAATACCTACATACTCCCTTTCATCCATAGAGGAAAACAGATGAGATATACAACTTTCTACATAAAATCTGATGTAGGTAATTAGTTACACTTGTCTTTTTAAAGGCGCTTTTTTAAAGACGTATTTGGTGAAAATAAGCTTGTTTTAGTGAAACAGTACTGAGTCAGACAGCCAACAAAAAAAGCATCATATGGGAAATGGATGTACTTAACCGATTAATGACAATTTTGAACCAAGTCCCCTACCATTTCTGATAACTGATTTTGTTTACTCAATAAACTACGCCCGATTTTAAAGGCTACCCTAGCAACGACCGAAATAACCAACTAAGTTTCTTTATTTCGTCTGGAAAGGTAAATTTCGATAAAATAGAGAGATCTAATTGGTTATTTCAGTTGCTGTCAGGGTGGTCTTTAAAGTCAATCTAAACTACAAGTAAAAAGTTTAAACTTCACTAAACGGTTTAGAATGGATTACTAACTCCATGTATTTACAAGACAGCTTGACATTCATTTATCCGGAAGCAGCATACTATAGATATCATTGAAGATAGACGTGAGATGAACCAGTTAAGTCAAAGCTACTGATAAAAGGCTAATTAATAGTTCTTATATAAAACAAACGACCTATCACACAGCTAGTAGAAACGGTTTGTAGCTCAACATAACAATGATAACTGTCTGTTGCTCTCCAAACTTTCACTTTTGTTCAAGAACAAGTACCGTATCATACAGCTGATATAAAAATCCAATTTCAACTATTTACTCAAAGGCTAGCTTAGGAATGAATGAACAGATAAAGTTCACTTATGTATATCGAATTTCAAACCATATGATAATGGAAACTACAAATATTCAGACCACATGACGTGATTTGATTGACAACAACATCAGCGCTCCCTAACCAAATCAAGGTGATCGAAACACCTGACAGCAGTCTCGCTTGCTTAGGGGTGAGATTGTCAGCGATGTTCACCGACTTACTCAGCCTAGAGAGTTGAAATGCTCAAACCACCCAAATTCTGGCTAAATACCTGAGAGAAAAGGTCACACTCAGAATTATCTCAGGGATTTAGAAGATATATATCCCGAAAAATGAGTCACCTACACCTACTCATATAAATCAGTAGCACATTTAGTACAGAAGAATATGAAAACGCGCAAATGACTTCCTACTAATTTTTCCCCAGAATTCGCTGAATAAAATCAAAACCAATCACAACGGGTCTCAAGTTTCCAGATTATCACAGGAATAGACATATAAATAGATAAGTCCATAGAAAAATGAATCCAAAAAGAACCAAAAATAGCGAACACTATATATAAACTAGAAATACCGTCTATTTTTGCTACAACTTGATTACTTAACATAGATGTAGCCTCCTGAAAAGTAATCTTCAGACTCCACTTCTGATGGTCGCTCGGTTCCTTGGTAGTGGAGAACGTGGTAAGATAACAAAAGATGTAGGGAAGGGTTTTTCTATATACAATTCAGTGGCGGTCTTAGTTTTTTCTAAGACTTTCTGAAACTATTGATCTCGCCGAGTTAATCCAACTAGGTGTCTATACGCCTAGTCATATGACTACCTGAAACCTTGGAATAAGGTTCAATAGATTCAGAATATATTTGTTGGATTCTGACTTTTTGAAGGAGGGGAAACTGTGCGACCTAACACCTACCTCCAAAAAACCAGGACGGGAATACAAAGGTGCCTTTAGACTGAATTTCTCAGACGATTTGTTTTGCATCATAGTCGACGGTTTGAAGTATTGTTCATGTATGTCTTTAGTCTGGTTACAGATTCTAATTCAGCTTGGACTGACTGACTCATTTCCATTAATGTGTTAAATGGTTACTGAGAAATATTGTCAGATTCTCCGGTTTTATGTTACATTCACGTGTCGAATTTAGATGTTCGAGTTTATTCATACTTAAAGTGATATCCTACTCGACATGTTATTACGCACCGTTTCCGACGAATTTTGGTGCAGTAAGGCTTTCACTATGACAATTATTGGCAGAGTTAAGTTTATGGTTATCATAATCTAATTCTATCTACTTAACTGGTAGCACAGAGTTAAAAGTTATTCGCACTTAGCACCCGAAAATATATTAGACTGGCGATTTTCTTCTTGGAATATTTGAATTTGTGTTGCGCTGCATACTATCAGAAATTTAGATATTATGATAATTTTAGATGCTTCCCCTTCCCTTTTCATTAAAAAACGCTTGAAGGTGTCCACAACGTTTCCTGTTTGGCCATTCAACTGCAGATGATAAGGTGGTGAACGTAAATGTTGGATAGAACAGCTTCTGTAAAAATTCTCACATGTTGTGAAAAGGAACTGTGAGTCGTTATTGGTCACCAAGATTTCAGGAACACTGAAGCTGCTGAAGAAATTTATTGGTTTTACAATTAATGATAAATATATCTTCCCGTGTATATGTCCTGTAAAATCTAGATATATCCTTTGTCATAGTGATTTGGTCATTCACGAAGGATTAGGTTCACACTTTACTGGATTTCTTGTTGCTTGTATGCAATTAGGATAACTTAGATAATTACATTCGATGTCACGGTACGCTGGATGCCAGTACGTGTAGCTGCATGTTAATGATGAGTATGAGACAGATTTAGCACGCAGTCACAGAGACTTTCAAGGGTGAAATCTGAAGTTTATTATTCAAGACTACACATTTATATTAAAGACTAATGATTTTAGAAAGACCTAGAAGTAACTAAGACCACTACTAAAGTGTTGTTCATAGTTAAACCCTTCAGTACATCCTGTTTTGTCTAACTACCATTTCTGTTTCCGAAGAACTGAGCGACAATCAGAGGTAGAATCTAAAGATTGTTCTTCGAGACTACAAACCTATATTAGATATTCACGTTACGTGATTTAGCTGATCCCAAATGAAGCCTTTTTTATTTGTACAGAGAAATGAGTCGCAATCAGTTTATCATGGTTTATAAACTACCTTAAATGAATGAAATAGTAGACCTATGCTTCCACTTAACTTTTGGCTGCGACTATAAAAGCTTATAGTATATCTTTTGAATATGCACAAATACTACTATTACTAATTATCATGATTATTTAGGTCATGCATCTTGTAAATACTCCCAATTACCTATGATGGCATTTAAATCAAAGCGGAAAGGCTGTAACATAAACACTGTAAATCTACGTAACTACAGTCTGCATTTTCCAAAGTGAGGGATTTTAGTCCATACAAAGAAATGCTGAGGGCTGAACCCATAGTTCTGATTACTATATTGACAGATAGTCGGATAAATCAACGTAAAACTCAATTTTTAAAAATGTATCAGCTCAAGTCGCCACACATATATTGCCAACATTTGTATATTTGATACTGGGTGATGATTGAAGGTGAAATGAAAATTTAGACCGCGGCCGGATTTGAACCAGCAACCACCAAGTTTCCGGCCCGAAGCTCTACCAACTGAGCTACGAGATCCAATTTTCCAACTTTGAAAGATAACTATGTTATTTGATTGTCTGATTACCTATCAAACGGCTGGTGTATTTTACTCTTCCTGCTATAGTACTATAAGTCAGTTGTTGAAGGTGAACGAAGCGAGTTACAGATTTCCAAAATCAGCAGTGTTCGTAGCATTGCTTATGTGCGGTAAAATCGCAGAGCTGGCAATATTAGGGTCAAGCATAAAGAACTAGGTGGGCAGGACAAGTCAAGATTGTGAACCTGCATTAAGAAAGATGACTAGAATACATATTGCACCTGCCGACCAGTAGTTTACGACTATGCATGATGTTAGCTGAAGAAGGATTAAATATACAGAAAGCGAAAAGTGATCGTATCAATATGGCGGTACTAATCCATGAGTTCCTGGACTGCTGTTTCGAGACAGGTATAAGGATAAAAGTTTCCTGACTGGATTCCTAGAAATATTAAAAATCAGCAGTTGAAAACTGTCAGTAACAAGGCCTGAAATTGAACAAAGTGGTGTATATGTTCATCTTCATTTTCAAAATTTAGTATATATCGCAATGATCTTCATATTTAGATTATTTTATCACATGTTGAACTGCATGTCTATCCATTCAGACGAAATCATGCATGGTTTTCGGAAGTATAGCCACAACCAAATTAATCAGTGGTGCTGCCCTGGTGTGGAAAGCACATGTAAATGATAAGCTATTACGATGCAGATACATACAGGTATTGAAGATATGTCCTACTGTTCAACCTGTGGCCACAAAGTAATTGAACTGAGGTCTAAAAGTGAAAGTAATACAAAATTTTATCAGACAAAACTACGGTGAAAGGTAAACGCATTTTCTACTGTAATTAAAAATCATTAAATTAAAAAAAATTTGAAACATTACATAAAATAAATTACTTTGTCTAGTTGCAGATGATGATGAACCACGTTGATTAGAACGGGAACTGGCTAGACATCTATTTGACACTGGGGCAGTTGAACCACGAGTTGTTAGTGAAGTTTTGGATCGACTGTTATTTAATTGGCTAGGAGCTGTATGTTGACTCGCGAGAGAGGTAGCACCAGTTGAAATTCGACGTCCACCAGCTGAAAACGGAGGCCTAACATTTGTTCTATTCATTTGCGTACGTTCTGATATATTTTGTAGAGATGGAAAAACAATGTATAATTAGAAGGTAGGTATCAAGCTATGTATACAACTGAAGCGATCTTTTAAGGAATTTCAATTGTAGTAATTTAGTAATCAGTTACAGATTCACATTTTTCTTTCTCAATGCACTCAGTGACTACTTTCCCGTAGTTATATAGTATTATGTTAATAAGAGATAGCATAACGGCATGAGCATGGTTCAAGTGTAACTTGCGGATTATTTGACAGAAAAACAGTCGAATTTTGACTTGAGATAAATGCACTTCGCGAAGCAAGCACAGATAGTACCCACTTAAACACCAAAAATATTGGGAAGTTGCCATGAATAACTGTATATCCATTATCTCAGAATGTTTGTAAGGAACTTTTCAATCTAAAAATAAATCTCATAATGGGATCACAACATTAACTTCACAACATGCGGACACTGAAGGGAGAGCTTGCATTTTAAATCGAAATTCATCAGTACTACATTATATCAACGTTGCCTTCACGTCTTGCCCCGTGAATATTAATATTTCTCATACTGTTGGGAAGTATCAAGTTAAGATAAAACAGGTGTTCGGTGCTATTTCATTTTAGACAGTTATCCAGTAGTAATGTCAATCAAGAGGTGGGAATTACCTTCAAATGCGTACGCATCTCAAAAATGTGTTATCAAATGGCATTTAACATGACATCAATACAATCTTATATGAAAATTATCTCACCAAGTTCAAGTGGAATCGACCCTATTTAGAATATAGAATATAGAATATCCAATTGTTGGAGGAAATGGACTCCATGAGTGAAAAGGTTTTATTCAGTTTTCGTATACAGTTATCACTTGATGCACTTCCCTATATATATGTGGTAATTCGCAGTAATCCTTTTTCCATTATAACAAACAGCCTACTGGAAGAATTGTCAATTAGGTCAATAATTATGTTGTAAATTCAGAAAGAGAATTTGACCAACACTGAAGTTCGAGTAGCAAGTCACCGTATACTATCTAGACGCTGAGAAATTTACTTGAGCTAGTTGTATAGAGCTCATTCAGCTTAGCGAGAACATCCCTGAAATCAGAACTGAATGATGCAGGGCTCAATTACCTAAGGATCGTGATTTTCTGTATACATCCACGTGATAAGTAGCAATAGACCGTAACTGCTACGTTGTCTCCAAAAAGGTTATGTGTGACAAGTAACAAGTGGATGTCCACAGGACACTGTTCTCACGTTTTCAGGTCAGTAAAATAGTCAACAAGAAATCAATTTGTCTTCAAATACCTTTTTATAAGTATCAGAAAGCACGATACGGAGGTTCAACAAATTCCGCTGACTTTCTTCAACCGCCCACATCACCGAGTTTTGCTTCTGGCACTTTTCTAGTATTTTAATATGTGATTTACTGAGTTTGTGTACTCAATAAGTAATCGAATTTAAATTTATACTGCTATTTTTAGGGAGTATTATGAGTCGTTTAAGCTGTTTACAGATGTAGCGCATTACGGATTACAAGCAAAAGGAGACAGAAACTGGATACTGTTTTTATATAATTTATATGCATACAAAATAGTAGACGTGTCTACCTTCCTAGGCAAACAATTAGCTATATGACGATAAGCTAATTAGTCAGTCATTTGTGAGTTGTGTATCTATTGTTAAAACAAAATATAACTAAGTCAATACTTGTAGACTGGTTGTAACTAGAATTCAAAGGTATTCCTGTACGTATTTTCAATAGTTGTTAATACAGCTGTTTTATACAGTGAAAAACTTCCTATTTCTATACACAGTACTCATTTCTCTCACTTTATCAACTCGAATGTAGATTGTGAATTTTAGATTATGATCACAATAAGTTATAAGATGGAAAAAAAAATCAAAGTAGAAGTTCATGCTGTTTCGATAGTGTGATCATACTCAACACCACCACCTCTCTCTCTTGTATCGGTCTCAGTTAAGACGCATTCAGCGAATCAGACAAAGCAAATTTCATAAAAACTAAGTTAAGTAACTGTGAGAAATAAAAACAGTCGATTCAAACTAAAACCTTACATACACCCAGCTATGCATCATAAAAGTAGGTGAACTAGGTACTGTTTATTACTTGATAAGCTATATTACGCCGCTGAATCAAATTCATTTATTTGCTTATCAGGAGATGGTCATTATTTACCACCATAAAGCAAAAACATATTTATCATCCTGCTAAAAAATACATCGACAAAGGGACAGACAGATTTATGATCCAAACGAGTTATTCAAGACTACAGAAATACACTTCTAAACAGGTGAACTTCAGCAGTGAGAATTAAATCATCTGAGGATTAGATTGTTGCCCGTGCATAATGGTGCGCATTCACATGTTAGATGGAATTTCGTTAGAACTCTGTCAATTTGATCAGTTTCACGAAAAAGAAAAGCATTTGAACACTACTTATATGAAGAAACAATAGAAACGATGAGTACACCAACTAACCTTTGAAACTATTTTGATTAGAGACTCTTCCCGCAGAACGATCAGTAAGATTGGATTTTGAAGCATTATTACTACTAGCGGTGAGATTAGACTTGGAATCCATTCTTCCTATTCGTAATAGTGGCGTAGGTTTATTGCAGTTCCTTTTTTCTACTGTTGTTCCAGGTATTCGAGTATACTTATTAGGAGTTATAGTTGGTTGTGAAGGAGTGGTGGTAACAGTGACATTTGTAGTTGTTTTTGTAGTAGTAGAGGTACGTGCTGTGGCGCTTTTGGCAGACGATAATGCTCCACGATGACTGGTTTTTTGAACTGCATTTACATTATTCACTGTAGTCTTGCTTACTGTTGTTGTCGGTTTACATTTTACTATCGAAGTAGTGACTGTGGTCTACGTAAATAAAATTATCAAAAACAAAGAGATTATATTGACCAGAAAGGGCAAGAAATAGAGCCATAAAAACAAGATGTGAAAGTAATGAAGTCATGTTTGATATAATTGAGGAGAATTAAATTAGTTTTGAGGCGTTTCCAGAATGTATTGAATCAGGTGTCTAAGAAACTAACTAACATGGCGCTGTTGATCAGGATATATAAGACAATCTTAGTCTCTAGACTGTTCTTAATATAAGAGTATGGTTACTGAAGTTGAAATGAAAAATCAATTTGTAGTATGATTTGAACTAGCAACCTCCAAATTACCTACTTAGTGGTCTACCAACTGAGCAAAAAGACCCAACAACTGAACGGTGTCAATTTTATCGCAGCTTAAATCAGCATGGTCTTACGGTAAGGACAGCCATCCAATCAAGACTACCTCAGATGGTCTAGTCGACAATTAATCCCTAGCTTTTCCTTTCTAATTCAACTCGGTTTCGATTCACTCCGAATGACCTGGTTGATGAACTGACAGCTACGAATTACTGATTCATGCGACAGCCGAGTAAAACTCTCAATCACTCAATTGGAGAGACCTAGTTGTTGGTAAAGTCTTGTAGAGAGCCAGGATGCCGATCTGGAAATCGCTGATTCGAATCTAGATGGTTCCAGATTTTCATTGTAACTTCAATCGTCACACCCTAACGCAAAATTATTCACTAGCTATTTACCTAACAGCATTCACTGTTATGCAGTGTCATAAAAAATATCAGGTAAAATAAATCCCCTTAAAAAAGAAAATAACAATTCCCTAAAAAGCGAAAGATGAAGATTAATACTAAAGTACAATTTGATGTTATGAAATAATGGTTTTTATTTGTATAGGGAGATGAATTAATGATGGTCGACTATGGATACAATATACTGCAGCGCAGCCAAGTGATATGCACTCAAAAGAATTGAATTATCAACTAGTCGATAAAACTCGATTTACGACTCTCTGCAAAAGTGAGTAATGACCAAGAAGAGTGATGGATTTATCGTATCGTATCGTATCACAAACAGTATGGTTTCCTATGTTGTATTATTTGATTTAATTAAACTGTCGCTTACATACAATGACCGAAAACAAAAAGAATATGAGTGGGAATAATAAAACAAAAACGAATAATTGATTAAGAGTACAAGAGATTACAAGGAAGCCAACGACTTTTTATCAATGCATGGAAAACTAACTGCATTATGTCTACTATATCATTTACACTTTCAAATAAGTAACAGTAGATGTCCTTAAAACCATGGTAGTGTTGACGCTGAGCTAAATGTTAGAAGATTAACTTTATATTGTTGTCGTTTACACAAAAACAACATCTTAAAAGTTTAAAGGGATGTAGCAAACTGCTAAACAAGCTGTAGGAATGGTCAAAATTGTTAGCAGGAGAAATATTGCTGAAATTATCACATTCTATTCAATACTCAGGCCTTCCTACAGAGAAGAAAACTGAGGCGAAAAATTAAGTGATATCTTATCTTACTTTATCTTACAAAGCATCGCGGTATATAATTAGAAAAGTAACTTTAAGAAATGAGAAAGTAGTCGAGAATACAAAAGCTTTGCTAGGAAATGACTAAGAACTTACAAATTTCAGTGAGGATGACCACTTGGTCTTCTAAGAGAAAAATGCTTCTAAAAGAAGCCTACTCTAATATCAATGCTACCATATTTGTGAATTCGGTTGTACACTAATTCGTTGGAAAAAAACATATCTAGTAAATATAAATTAAAAACGTTCTTCTACATAAACACTAACTTTATTTGAAAATAAAATAGATTGCTAAATTGATTGACACATCATAATTTCCCAAGTTTTAATGTGCCAATAATTTTCTCACCAAGAAATGTGTTTTCAAGACAATGAATCTTTTTTAAAAATCCAATAGATGGAAAATTCTAACGGTCCTTAACAGTAGCTTAAAACAGTGAGTAGAGAGAATCATAACATTAGATTTGTTGAACTAATCAGTAAAGTGTACAGAACAGGAATGACGCCTCATCTATTCCAAATATCTGGAAAATTTTACTAGCTCTAACGCGAATAGTGACGGAGAAGCATTAGAACTATGAAGATAGCGTTATCAATATGACTACGAACAATGAACTGTCTCCAAAATCCTACCCACTAAAATGTAATAATGTTTAGTTGCATGATGTACCTAGGAAATAAACTAACATGGAAATGTGCTTCAATGAAAGGCTAGCAACAACATAATTAAACAGTCCAGTTGATGTTCCTGATGATAATCTATTCCTGACTTTTAATTAAATCTAGAAATCACTTGATCAGGTAATTGGCTTCAAAGCAATGAAGTTACAGATGAGACCTTATCCTTATCGATTTTATGACGATCAAGTAAATATTATTATCAGTTCTCATATCACAGTTATCTTAATAATATTTAACTTTCAACAAACCATATGTGTATACTAGTTAAGTGCACATTATTGATTGGCTTCTGAATGGAAGCTTTGAAAGACGGGGTAACTCAAATTGAGAAAGAGGATGAATATTCAACGCCAAATTTGAGTGATTACCGTCGTATTTCACTAATTTAATTAAGTCGGAAAATGTGGAGTTCTCAATTTTAACTTAGCGGAATGACGGAGTTCATACAGTGTCTCCTAGTCCTCAAGATGTCAAGAGCTCCTACAATAGGAAAGAGTAAATATGAAGTATTCATTGCCTAATAACCTTTCTTCAGTTAATGTTAGAACGCAGTGCTAAATAACTTCAACAGTTATGTCCAATAGTCTAAGTAAATGAAACATGCTTGTAGTTACTGAGTTGAATTTACTTAGGAATGCCGACAAAGTTTATGAAAACGTACTATAAAACATCAAAAATTTTTTGTTTCAGATTGATTTGTATTACATCCAGTAGAATTAATGTAATGATTGTGAAGTGAAATATACGGGTCAAAGCAGTTGATCAGAGTCGGTCAGAATAGCAGAAAACCAAAATTTAGCAAAATGCACAATGGTAGACCCTACTACGATAAGCTACTACTCATTTATCGCTCTGTATGCACTGACCCATATAAAACTATAGGGCGGGGATACGAAGTGACCACAGAATCTTTGTCCATTGAATCAACACCCAACACATGTAACAGGAATGACTCTACGTACAGCAGATATCTAGAATATTCTACTGCCATTAAATCAAAGGAATGAAAAAATGTTGGACTATATAAAGTAGTATGATTACTTTGATATGAATATGAGTAATAAATTCTGCTCGAAACCTCATTCAATAAATAATCAAATAAACAATCACATGGAATTACACTGTACCAAAGTGCCCGGGTTTTACTCTTACATTGACGGAAATATTTTGATCAGAAGTCGATTAACATTACACACCACCATATATATTATCCTCTAAATAAATGTAAGGTTACAACCAATTTTGTTGCTTACATACGGCAGGTATATCAACTACCACTAATTATCACGAAATCCCTAGTAATGAATACATTCATTATACATAAAATTATCCAGCATCTAGTGAAATCCATTCAGCGCTGAACTTCACACATGATACCTATAAGCTTATAATGCAAATATGAAAATGTTTGAAACACGGAAACATTATGCTAACAGGTCAGTTATTATCTACTTCAGTTATACATTTAAAGTGGGTTTTAATAATAAATACAAATATGTTACGATCACCATCAGTGTTATTCCTAAGTATTCAACACATAATTGAATAATCGTAGATTATAGTGATTGACATTCATGTGTGTTCATTGATTAACTAACTAATTAGTTATTGTCATTAATATTGCTACCATAAATAATACTCTTACTTTTATTTGCTTATGATGGCTTCTTTTCTCTGGATAATATCAACAATTCCTTTAGTAAATTAACTGGGTTAGTTACTAGTGGTGTGTTAGCCTGCAGTAATGAGTAAATAAATACGATTTGCAGATCGATACTTTCAGCTAAATAAATATAAACTCATACTCGCACACATAAAATGAATATGGTAATAAATGGTATGATGTACGATCAAGGTAGTAGTAATTTGAGAACTACATCTGAAATCAATCCACAGAAGCGTAGTTCACTGTGTGACAAAGTGGTGCATAGATGGGAAATAATTTGCATGAAATCATTACATATGATGGAGATAAGTGATGATCCAACATGTGTTTGTTCTGAACCTAAGTTTAGTAAATAATGGCAGTTCTGTTTAACTTAATAGGAACTGTAAATAGGATTTACATTGCATGCGTCGTTCTATGTGACAGTTTTCTGATAGATTTAACCGCATTTCAATGTTGGTGTTACTGTTGTGACTGGGATTCTGAAGAGATATTTTAGAATGTCTGAGGGCTTTCCAACAGACCACTTAATTTCAATGGGTTCTACGTATAACGAGCAGATATGCCAAAAGAGATCGATCCATTCGGTTATGCATTAAAATGGTAACACTTTCGAATGTAATTTTCAAGATTCTATTTGTATATTTTGGACCTCCGACTGATATATAGGGAGAAATGATATGAGACAGTTCTACGCATAGAAAGAGTCATTGCGTTCGTGGAATGAATAAAAGTGCTCTGAAAATTCTCACTATAAATTAAACCGTAGTTTGGTGAACAAGGAATATTCTTTCCGATAACTTCCACCTTATTTTCAACAACTATTTGTATCCATAATAATTAATCAAAGATAAAATGTATTCAGTATTCAGATTTGTCGGGATTTATTTATTGACTTCAGGTTGGTATTTATCATGGATTGACATCAGTTGGAGAAATATTGAAAACCTGGAAGCACTAGGCGGCTGTTTCGTTTTAGTATGGGACCTGGAAGTCTTGGGTTCGACCCCTGGAGGGGTCATAGGTGTGAACTGCTGAAGAGTCCTATACTAGGACAGAACAGCTATTCAATCCTCCAAGGTTTTCAGTGTTTCTACAACTAACGTCAGTTCATGATAACAA